GTGTGTGTGCCTTGCGGTCGAAACACTCGGGGCTTTCTGTTTCTGTCTCTCTCCGTCTCCCTCCCTGCCTCTCTCTGTCTGTGTCTGTGTCTCCCTCTCTCCCCCCCTCTCTCTGTCTCTCTCTCTCCTTCCTGCTCTGCGCTTGTCTGTGTGCATCCTCTCAACGCCATGCTGTGCCTGCATGTACTGGTATTGCAGGCCAACGGCCCCCACACATTGGCTTGAAGAAGTGGAAGAAGATGCAGGAAAAGCGCCAGCGCCGCCTCGCGACAGAGGTGAAGCCATTCATCCACGCGATGCGTGCTGCCAAGCGTGGTCACCTGCAGCAACACGCGCCCTCTGCACATGCAGCACACGGCATACATCGTGCCCATGTCTCACCGCCCATGTATCACACCCGCGCGCACACACACACACATACACACACGCAAACGCACACACAAACACACACACACACACGTACACATGCACACGCGCATCCACACGCACACGCACACACGCACACGCACACACGTACACATGCACACACGTACACATGCACGCACGCGTCCAGGCTGCGCGGCGGCGGCAAGAGGAGGAGCGGCGACGACGAGAGGAAGAGGAAAAGGCGGCAGCGGATATGAGGGAGGCCGAGACGAGGGAGGAGGAGGAGAGAAAGGCCGAAGAACAACAGCAACTGGAGGAGCAGAAGAGGAAGGAGCAAGAGGAATACGAGGCCATCAAGGGCATGTTTGTGATGGAGACAGAGGGATCGCAGGCAACGGAGATCCAGGACGAGTCACAGAGTCTGCTCACGGACTTTGTCAACTTCATCAAGGAGAAGAAGGTCGTGTCGCTGGAGGACCTGGCCACGCACTTTGACCTGCGCACACAGGAGGCAATCAACCGCGTCAATGCGCTTGAGAGCATGGGCTGGCTCACGGGCGTCACAGACGACAGGGGAAAGTACATCTACGTCTCAAAGGAGGTGCGTCGTGTGTGTGTGTGTGCGTCTGTCTGTGTGTGTGTGTGTGTGTGCGTCTGTGTGTGTGTGTGTGTCTGTTCGTTCGTTCGTTCGTTCGTTCGTTCGTTCGTTCGCTCGCTCGTTCGTTCCCTCGCTCGTTTGTTTCTTTGTTTGTTTGTTAGTTAGTTCGTCAGTGAGCGAGTTTGTGTGCGTTTTCGTGCGCCCTCGTGCGCACATGCAATCTCGGGATCCTGCACACCCCTGCACCCGTGTCCTCCTCCCCGCCGCCCAACAGCACAATGTTCACACCGCACATTGCCCCAACACCGCATTGGCAGGAGCTGGAGGGGGTGGCCAAGTTTTTGAAGCAGCGCGGCCGTGTTGCCATCGAAGAACTCGTCGAGAACTCCAACCGCCTCATCGCCCTCTCGTGAACACACACGCGCACGCGCGCAATGCCCCCCCCCCCCAATTTTACACTCACCACTCGCCCCTAACAATCGATCCCTTGTGTTGCATGGAACGGAGTGGCACTTGATAAACGGATTCCAACCTTTGACTGATGTTGACGGTACCTCCTTACACAGCGCAACACGCGCCCCACTTTTGTGTACAGCAGCAGCAACAACCAAACAAATACACACACACACACACACGCGCGCGCGCGCGCACACACACACACACACACGCACACACACACACACACAACCACTTGCTTGATCTCATTCACTCCGTTGATGCGCCATCACCACCTGTGCTGGCCCCGGATGCAACCGCCGTCATGGCAGCGTCGTACCCTTCACGCATCAGCGGCAGCAGCGCTTTGCGCATGTTGGAGAGCAGGTTCGGGAACAGGTGTTCCTGGTGGTGGTGAGTCGAGAAAGGAGGGGGGGGGGGGTGTTTGTGTTTGGGTGAGGTTGGGGCTTGAGGTGTACCAGGGGAAACCACTTGGAAGCACACGGCAGAACAACAACACAAACGGTGCACCATAACTAGAGCACAAACACACATAAACACATATGAACGTGCGCACGCACATACAGATACACATATACCCTCACACACACACATATACACTCTCACATAAACAGACACACACACACAGACACACACACACAGATACACAGATATACACAACACCTGTTGTGCGAGCATGGTCTTGATGCGGTATCGTTCCTGTGGTTCCTCAAAGCACGCTGGGCAGTTCTCCTGAATCACCGGCAGGCCATTGGCAACAGCAAATGCGCGCGTTTGGCGCTCGCGCACAAATGCAAGCGGACGAATGATCCGCAAATCCCCCTTGTCGTTCAAGTAGTGCGCGTTCATTGTGCGTAGCTTGCCGTTGTGAAACGCAGTCATGATGAAACTCTCTGCAAGGTCGTCAAGGTGCTGCCCAAGTGCAAGCACGTTGTACCCCTCGCGTCGCGCCACAGTGTACAGAATCCCGCCTGTGTTCAACAACACGAGACCACGTCATTTAGTAACGAGCAAGACAACTTTGACGAAGCGGAGCGAGGAAGCAGGACGCAGCTATGGGTTCAAACGACCGCGGTCCTAGACACACACACACACACACAGCGGGCGTGACTCACGTTTCATACGGGAGCACCAGGAGCAGATGGAGGACGGCTTGGTGTCCTTGGCGAGCTGCAGCAGGTCCTGCGTCTCAAAGAAGTACTCGACGCCAAGCTTCGCCAGGTACGCCTTGAGCGGGGCCGGGTCAAAGCCAGGGAAGTTTGGGTTCATGGTGACGGCGGCGAGCTTGAAGGAGATGGGGGCGCGGCGCTGGAGTGCATGCAGGCAATGGAGCAGCGTCAGGGAGTCTTTCCCTCCAGAGAGTCCGATCAGGACGCGATCGCCGTCGGTGATCATCGAGAACTGGCGGATGGCCTCGCCTGACGAAGATGAAGCAGGGAGGAGAGACGAGGGGAGAGTGGGAGAGTGGGAACAAGCTGGGTCTAACAAAAGCACACTGATACGCAAGCACACGGCACACGGCACACACGCACGCACGCACACACACACACACACACACACACACACACACACACACACACACACACACACACACACACACACACACAGAGCGCAGCACATCGCTTCACGTACCAATGGGCCTGAGGAGGCTCTTTGGGACTTTTGGCCAGAGTTTTGGGTCGGGGCGGGCGAGTTTGCTGCGCTTCGTCTTTGGTTCATCCTCCGATCTCTCGTGGCCGTCATCGTGGGTCAATGTCATATCCGTGCCTTTGGCCTTCTTGCCATCTGCTGGTGGTGTAGGTGCTGGTGGCGCACTGCTTGGGTTCCTGTGGTCTTCCGCTGCCTCCTTCGACGCAGTGCCGTTGTCAGTGTGGACACGATCGCCAGCACCATCAGCGCCATCATCACGGGCCGTCGACTCCTCCCCTGCTGATGCTGCTGCGTTGCGCGCGAAGGAGACCAGCGGGCACACGTCTGCTGCTGTATCCCCGACTCTCTTCCCCAAGAGATGAATCGTTCCATCATCTCCATCATCTCCATCATCCTCATCGCCACTGCTGTTTACAGCGCTCTGCTCCTCTCCTTCGCAGGCAAACCAGCGGAGGTGTGACTGCTCGGGTCCCAGGCCAACCACCATGTCTGGGTCAAGATCCGGCTGTGTGAATGTGCGTGCATGTGCATGCATGTGCGTGCATGTGTGTGACCGTGTGTGAATGTGTGTGACCGTGTGTGAATGTGTGAGCGAATTCTTGCGCGTCCGTGCGCTTGCCGGCACATGAACGTCAGTGACAAGCCGACACGATGTTCAAGTATGTACCACATGCAAGAGCCACCTCGATTCTCGGTCGTGCTCACCGTGATGGGCTGCTTCCTTCCTTTGCAGAGTTGCGCCGCATCATCGACGAGCTCTTGCAGCGACTGCGCAGGCAGAGAATGGTGATGAGGACACGCATGAATATTGACCAGCTCCAAACGCAGGCACAGCCACAGCCACGACCACAGCCACAGCCGCGCCCACAACTGCAGCTACAGCAACGACCACGATCAGACTCGACAACTCATTGCCCCCCTCGAGGCACACGCACACACCTTGGTGTGGGGCAACCGCTGTGCCATCCTGTCTGTGTTCCGCTTGAGGGAGCCCACCTCGACCTTGCTGCCCGTGGTGAAGGAGAGGTCGTGCAGCCAGAGCCGGTGCGGCGACGTCTTGCGCAGCGACTTGTGGCGATACTCGCCTACACACGCACGCGGTATGTATGCAGGCACAGATGAGCAATGAGGGCTGGTAGGAGAAATGGAACAGGAGCACAGTAGCTTGCTCGCAGCAATGACACGGAACGGAAACCAATTGACATTCGTGTAGATGTGTCACAGAACAGCACACTTGTCCATGCCAACAACAACAACAACAACAACAACAACAACAACAACTTAAACAACAACAACAACAACTTAAACAACAACAACAACAACAACAACAACAACAACAACAACAACAACAACAACAACTTAAACAACAACTTAAACAACAACAACAACAACAACAACAACAACAACAACAACAACAACAACAACAACAACAACTTAAACAACAACAACAACAAAACTTAAACAACAACAACAGCAACAACAACAACAACTTAAACAACAACAACTTAAACAACAACAACAGCAACAACAACTTAAACAACAACTTAAACAACAACAACAACTTAAACAACAACAACAACAACAACAACTTAAACAACAACAACAACAACAACAACAACTAAACAATAACTTAAACAACAACAACAACAACAACAACTTAAACAACAACAACAACAACAACTTAAACAACAACAACAACAACAACTTAAACAACAACTTAAACAACAACAACTTAAACAACAACAACTTAAACAACAACAACAACAACTTAATACAACAACAACAACAACAACAAAGCGTGCAGCCACATGCACTGCGGTGTTGAAGGCGCACCCGAGTCGACGTAGAATGTGTAGTCCTGCAGGAAGAGGTGGCCGTGGTCCGCAACGAAGCGGATGGCAGATATGAGCCCATCCGTCTGCGCATCGGTCCAGTAATACGGGACGGAGACGCGGACAAACCCCGGGCGAAGGATCTCGCGTTTGGCGATGAGGGCCGACTCAATCGCCTCGGCATCGTTCTCGCTGATGTGAAGCAGGTCGTGGCCATATGGACCCGCGCACAGGCACCTGCGGTGGCAGCGGCAGCAGGGTGGTGCCAGTGGCAGTGGTGGGATAAGTCAGACCCGCAAGGAACATGTGTGACAGAGAGAGTGTGTGTTTGTGTGCGGACACAGAGACATGCAGGAGAAGGCGTGCAAACACAGGGCATGTACGAACGAACATGGTCAGCAGCGCACGCACAGACACCAATGCGAACGCACCCGCCCCGGCACTGAATGCCGAACAAGTCGTTGAGGAGGACTGTGACGAAAGACCAATGCAGGAATTTGGGGGACTGCGGATAGCGGATCATGAACGAAAACACCTGGAGTTGCAACACCACACGCACGGATGATGGCGTGGTCAGCGAAGTGAGCGCACGGTATTTCAATAAGACAGAAGGAAGGGTGTGTGTGTGTGTGTGTGAGTGAGTGAGAAAGTGAGCGAGAAAGTGAGTGAGAGAGTGAGGGAGTGAGTGCGAGACAGACAAGTACGCACGCACGCACACACACACACACGCACACACAACAACAACATACATGTGCAAAAACAGACAACTCACGGGCAGGCGTTGTGCGTGTGGATGGCCGAGGACGTGGATGCGGGGATGGGATCCAAGTGCAGACTGCACGCGCTGAGCAATGGCCTGCTCCCGCTCCCGAATGCGCGGTGTGGCAGCAGCGGCCTGGTATTGGAAGACGAGCCCTGCCCTGACGGCACCGATGATATTCGGGGTCCCGCCCTCCTCCCGCTCCTCGGGCGACTCGAGGTACCTACATGATGGTGGCGGTGGCGGGGTTGATGATTGATGGTGGGGGGGGGGTTGCGGGCGGGAGTGGGGAAGCATCACGAGCAATGAACAAACAAACAAACAAACAAACAAACAAACAAACATGCCAGCAAACAAACGCACACCAGAGACACACGCAGCGCAACACACAACACACATCACACATCACATCACATTACACACGCACCAACCTGTGTTTGGTGCGGGAGACGTAGAAGACGGTGCCGCCGCCAGGAACGGCCGGGGCGGAGGCGGCGATGAGGTCGCGCTTGGCAATGAGGATGCCGGGGGTTGAGGGGCCACCGGGGAACTTGTGCGGCGACAGGAACACCGCGTCTTTGGCAATGAGGTGCGGCGCAAGGCCAGGCACTTTCGGGTTCATGTCCACTGGACACATGAAAGAAGGAAGGGTGAAAACAAACAGGGGGCGGGAGAGGGCACAATGAGGGATGGCAGGCGTCAGTGCGACGACTGATCGAGAGGCAACCTGTTTGGAACAACGCACACACATACACACGCAGACATGCACATGCACGCATACATGCACATGCATACATACATGCACATGAACGCATCCATGCACATGCACGCATCCATGCATGCACACAGAATGGGCAGCATGTATCATCAAGTCCATCTGTACAGTTCTGATGATGTCTCCCTCCCACTCTCGCTCCCTTCTGCATCACACACGCGGCCTCACACGTATTGCGCACACCTTGGACGTGGGGCCCAGCAGCAGCGTAGTCCCAGCACGCAAGACAGCCGTGCTGGTGCAGCAATACAGTGATGCCGTCCACATCCTCCATGATCCCAGTCACGTTTGACGCCGCAGAGAAGGAGCCCACCTTCATGCGCACGTGCGCGAATCGGGCAATTGCGGACCTGAGGTCGTCCTGGTCCGTCCGGCCATCAGCACCCGCCCGGATGCGCACCACGCGCACTGGTGATGGTGGTGATGGTGGTTGTGTGGGTGGGAATGTATGTGTGTGAATGTGTGTGTGTGTGTGAATGTGATATTGCGTGTGCGCGCGCGTGTGTGCGCGTGTGTGTTCTGTGAGGGTATGTACATCAGCAAACACAATGTGCATGTCATCAGCAGGTGGTACATTACACGTCGCATGACACCCCCCCCCTACACACACAACACATGACGCACCATGTGGCAGCTCAGTCCAGGGCAGGATGTTTGAGTGGTGCTCCATCGGACCAACAAACACGACGCCATGCACGTCATCACCGGCGTCCACACTATGGGGTCGTTGTTCTTGCCTCTCGGTTGACTCGGACGCTGGCGTGACGGTCTCTGCTGCAAACCCACTTGCTTCGCCATCCGTATGTGTTCTGCTGTGCAGCTGCAAGAGCGTATGGTCATGAGAACAACACACGGCCGGAGGGGGAGGGAAACTCGATGAACTTGAAGCATGAAGGTGGCGTGTTGATGGAGGTTGACCAGACTATGCGCAGTCTGACATGGGCGAATACACACACACACACACACACACACACACACACACACACACACACACACACACACACACACACACACACACACACGCACACACACACATGCACACACATGCACACACACACACGCACACGCACACACATGCACACACATGCACACACACACACACACACTGACACAAGCAACCAGCGCACCAGGACGGACTGCTGGTCCCGGAATACTCGAGAGCAGCCGGGGAACGAGCACTTGAACGCTGGGGCCTCTCCATCCTTGCTGCTGTGTTGCTCAGCCATGGTCTTGGCGAGAATGGAGGCCAGCTTGTGAACGGCGCCAGTACACCCCGTCCCAGCGAAGATGAGAACATCTGAGCGTGCAGCAGCAGAGGTGCGAGTGCAAGATAAGATGGGCCGTCAAAGAACGCTGATGGCCAGCATCTGCATTGGCACACGCAAACGATGTGCAACACGCACACACACACACACACACACACACACACACACACACACACACACACACACACACACACACACGTGCAACTAACACAGACACACATGCACATACATGCACACACACACATGCACATACATGCACACGTAGATGCACACAGATACAGCTACACACACAGACGCACACACAGACACACACACATGCACGCGCACACATGCACACACCTGCGTCTGTTGCGTTGGTGCAATTCTTGATGAGCTGCCTGGCCTCCTCAACAAACTGGGTGGTCTGGCGCCCACACGCCGAGGCGCCCGAGTGTGTGTTGCCGTAGAGGGGCATAACGTGGGACATGATCGTGTCCTCAATGCTGCGAAGGCTGCGGCCAGAAGCAGTGCTGTCCGCATACACGAGTTTCCTCTCCCCATATGGCGTGGTGATGCGGTAGTCGGAGCCGACCATGTCATTGCGCACAAACTCAGCAAAAGCGTCAAAGTCAGAGGCGGTGGACGCGTGCCCCAGCTCCTCTTTGCCTGGGTCAGCCACGTCCGAGCCCCATGCCCGCGACGCAAACCTCGCTTCACCGCTCATCACGTGCTGTGTGCTGTTGTTCGTGGTCCTTCCTTCTTGTTTGCACGTGGTTGGTTGTTGGATTTATTGTGATGCTCTTCGATGATGTGAGTTTCCACTGCTTCCATCCGTGAGCTTCCACTTCTTCCGTCTGTGCTCTTCCATGCTGCTTACTTTGTGTTCCATGCTACTTACTTTGTGTTCCATGCTACTTACTTTGTGTTGTTGTTGTTGTTGTTGTTGTAACAATGTAACGATGCTGAGTGTGTGCCGATGATGAACGACAACACAGCACTCGAAGAATCTTCAGGCAAGATGGAAGAAGGGGGTAGGCAAGAGGGGATTGCTTATGTCAACGCACACACACGCACACGCACACACACGTCCACAAATGAGATTCGTTATCTCCTGCCTCTCGCTGTTGCCTCTGCTGCTTCTTCGTCATCTCTTCTCACGTCTCCAAGTCCCCAATCCACAATCAAGGCTCTTTCATCCCACGACCTACCACCACCACCACTACCACTGTCACTGTCGCTGCCACCATCACCATCGCTACCAGGGGCAACAATCCCCGCATGCAACGCCCTCTCGTCCCTCGGCTCCCCTCCCTCCCGCTCGTCCTGTCCTCGCGTTGTTGCAGCAGCATAGATGGCTGGGCTCAGCGCCAGCACTAACGTCACGGGCGCAACCCCAACAGAGGTCCCGCTGTCAATGTAGATGAGCGTGGGCAGCCGGCTGTAGTCTGTGAGCGTGATGTTCAGCGCGTGCGCGATGGGCGCCGTGATCCACCCACTCACAGAGTCGCCAAAGTCCAGGAACGAGAGCACGAGTGCGTAGATGAGCCCGCCGTCGGCGCGCGTCGGGTGCGGACATGCGCGCGTGGCAACAGTCAGGAACGCAAGCATGGCCACCTGGCTGGCCGTGCCCGTGATGAGGGTGCACGCGCACGCGTACGCGAGCTCCGGGGCCGTGCGTGCAGGGATGGAGCCCTGCACGAGGGGCACAAACAGGAGCTGGGCAAGGGCCGCGGCGACGAGCGAGCCCACCAGCGTAACCAGCAGCGGCCGGCCGCGCGTGGTGCCAAACAGCTTGAAGTACAGGGCGCTGCCAACAAGGCGGCTGCCCGAGGCAACAATGTTGATGGCCTGTGGATAGCAGGGGTGGTCGGCCCACTGCGCATAGTACCAGGAGGTGATCTGGGTGGAGGAGGTTGGTGTTGCGTACACGGCAAACAGGACGAGCGCGGGCCACACGCCGCTGATGCCGCTGAGGAGCCGCACAGATGGGCGGGTGATGGCGGCATACACAATGGCGGCGGCAATGACAACATCCACGGCAAGCACCCCGGCAAGCATGTCGAGCCAGCGACGATGGGACATGATGTCTTTCAGGGCGCTCCACGTGAGGAGGAGCAGCACGCCCGGGATGGCCAGCTGGAAGATGGGGAACCGCCGGCCGCCGCCGCCGTGGTCAGTGGCAGCCGGGGTGTGAGCATGCGTGGCAGTAGGCGCGGTTGGTGTGGACGGGGTTGATGTCGTGTGCCCAGCGTGATGGAGCTGATGGTCGTGGAGCTGTCGCTGATGATGGCGATGCAACAGCGGCACTCGATCATCCTGCCCACCGTCGATCTCCTCCTCCTCCCTCTCTTCCTCCCCCTCTTCCTGCAGCCCAATGCTTGCAACGGCCGGCTGGGGCGACCACAGCTTGCCCTCCCCAGAGTTGAGGGAGCCCAGGGGTGCTGGCAGCGCAGGTGCTGGTGATGTGCGGCGCGGCGTGTGCGGCGACGAGGGTCGCCGGTCTCGCTTTGGGGACGGCTCTGGCAGAAACAGGGCGCACAGCACTATGGCGAGCGGGAACGCGGCAGTCGCTGCCAGCACGTTTCTGGTGCTGGCGGTGGCGGCGCCGTGGCGGGTGCACGGGTAGAGCGGCATGCCAATGAGGAGCGCGAGGATGGAGGAGACGGCTCGCACGCCAGCAACTGCGCTCTGGATGTGGCCGACGTTGGCGCCGTTTCGACCCGCGTAGTCCAGCATGGTCAAGTCTGCGATGATCTCCGTGCAGGCGTTGGCGGCGGTGCGGGCGAGCGTGACGGCAAGCGCACCGGTTTGCGAACGCACGACAAAGGCGACCATCAGGTACGTGCACGCGCTGATGATGCCGCTGATGACCATGTACGGCTTTCGCCGGCGCCCGTGGATGGGGAACGACTCCGAGATCCACGCATACAGCGGCTTGAGCGACCACGGAATGAAGATGGTGGCGTAGAAGGTGGACTGTGCGCTGGGCGACACGTGGATGTCGTTCTGCAGCCACGACTCAAACGCGGTCAGTGGGAAGGCCTCCACAAGCCCGTTCAGGATGTACACCATCAACAGCGCCCAGTGCAGCCCGTTGAGGCGCGCCTGCGTCTGCCGCACGACACCGCGCACCCACGCCACCAAGGACACGCTCATCTTGTGTTCATCTGGTGCCTGCTGTTACCCCGTGTTGCAGTGGGATGGCAGGCAAGGCGCAAGGAGCAGCGTTGGAGGAGAAATAATGGACACACACCTTCAAACGCATCGCAACAACATCAGAAATGTGTGCTGCAAGGCATTCACTGAATTCAGTGTGTGTGTGTGTGTGTGTGTTTGTGTGTGTGTGTTTTGAGTGTTTATTGGGGAAAACTCGCTGAAATCTTACACTGCTCCCGGCGCTCAAAGATGGGGAAGGCAATCGCGGCAAAACAAAGGGCAGCGGTGCGTATGGGTGAATGTGTGTGAGAGCACGCGCCTCATAGACAGAAAGAAAAGTGAATCAATAGTGTGTGTGTGTGTCTGTCTGTCTGCCTGCCTGTCTGTGTGTGTGTGTGTGTCTGTCTGTGTGTGTGTGTGTGTCTGTCTGTCTGTGTTTGTCTGTCTGTGTTTGTCTCTCTCTCTCTCTCTCTCTCTCTCTCTCTCTCTCTCTCTCTCTCTCTCTCTCTCTCTCTCTCTCTCTCTCTCTCTCTCTCTCTCTCTCTCTCTCTCTCTCTCTCTCTCTCTCTCTCTCTCTCTCTCTCTCTCTCTCTCTCTTTGTTGTCTGCTCTGACAGCAGTCAAAATCCCAACGCCCACATGCTCCCCTCCTTGCAACCACACCAATCAACCAATCATTTACTTGCTCGTTGAAGAACACCAACAACAACAACAACAACACAGGCAGTGTCGACGCGTGAGGTCGGCGCCCAGCATATCGACCACCACGCATCAAACCGCAACGTCATCATCACCGCCGCCGCCGCCCTGCACGCGCATGCGCGTGTGTCAATAGCCATCAGATGCGTCCCGCGCGCGTGCCCGCGCCACCCTTGAAGCACCGCCGTGTGTCGCTGTTGCCGCGGTGGCCGAGCTGTTGCTGGGGTTGGCGTTATGCAGCTTGTTCTGCAACACAGCTGCATTCAGCAGCAGCGCCTGCGCGCGCGCGCGTGTGTGTGTGTGTGCGTGTGTGTGTGTGTGTGTGTGGTGAAGGCGTGCGGGGTATCAAGGCATCAAGAGGCACAGTGTGTGCGTCATGTGCACGAGTGTTGTGGCGAGGCGAAAAGGAACGCGGGCGGTTGGTTACCTCCGCTGTGCGTTGGAAGCGCTGCATCACTTGGATGCCACGATCAACAGCGTGCTGGCGAGGATCTCTCTCAACAGCACACAGCACCTGCACACACACACATGCGGGGTGAATGCGGACGTACACGACGTACACAAAGAACAAACAGTGATCATCAGGCACATTGCGCCAGCACTTGTGTGTGTGTGTGTGTGTGTGTGTGTGTGTGTGTGTGTGTGTGTGTGTGTGTGTGCAAGTACGGCTGAACCTTGCGGTCGCTGTCGATGCGGGCGCTCAGCTGGTCGTCAGCAATGACGCGCGCAAGCTCGTCTTCCAATGCCTGCAAGCAAGCAAATCATTGCGGAAGGGGAAGGGAACCAAGTGCAATGACGACAGAATGGAGCGGTGGGCAACATCATCACAAAAGGCCAACGGCACACAGACGCGTGCACGTGTGTGTATGTGCGTGAATATGTATGTGTGTGTGTGTGTGAGTGAGTGAGTGAGTGAGTGAGTGAGTGAGTGAGTGAGTGAGTGAGTGAGTGAGTGAGTGAGTTAGTGAGTGAGTGAGTGAGTGAGTGAGTGAGTGTGAGTGTGTATGTGTATGTGCGAGCTATTGTGCGTGTGCACATGCGTGCGTGTGTGTGATTGTGTTGTCATAGCATTGGGCGTTGTGGCCTCACCTCCGTGGTGGTGTCGAAAGCAGCGGCCATGGCAGACAGTGTCACGTTCTTGAATGGCGAGAAATACTGCAAAAATAGACGATGAGTTGGGGGGGGGGGGAGAACGTGCAGGCCACAATGCGTGAGAGAGCGTGTGAGGCGAACAACGATGATAGCCGTGAGCAAGACAAATAAAAACAAGAACAAGAACAAGCACGAAAGAGCAGACAAGAGCTCCAAAAACCACAAAGTCAAGCGTAAGCGCACGCACACAAATAAAAACAAAACCACAACAAGACCAAGAGCACCAGCACCTGGTTGAAGGCGCGGATCCTGATCTGGCCGAGGAGATGATCCACGCACGGAAACAGATACAAGTCCGCATACAAGTCGTTCTGAAGTTCGTACACGCACACATCACAGACACACGCACGCATACATGTGCACGCAATGCCCCACAGATGTCTTGGGGTGAGGATGTGCGTATCAGGGTCGCTGGGTGTGTTCAGGGTTCATCTGAAACATCAACACTGCAGAGCGCACCTTCAAGTTTGTGATGAGCTCTTGGCACTTCTTGAACTTGGATGCGTGGAAGCACTGCGCAAGCGTGCGCACGAGCCCGCTCGCCTCCAAAAACGACTGAAACTCCCTGCACCCATCACACACACACACAAACACACGGCACACGCAAGAGCAGCGCCAACCACCACCATCACCACCGCCGCACGCACACAGCCAAAGCAGGCACAGAGACACCAGAACGCGAGTGAGCAGCTGGTGTGCGGATTGACACGGAGGCGCGCCGCCTCTTCCACCGTACCAATACGCGCAGCCAACAGCAGCAAGGGGAGACTAAGTGTGCGCGCTGCGCAATGTGTGACACGCACGCGTTGAGGATGAGGTTGTCCTTGATGTCGTCACGGCTCATGGACGCAAGACAGCACAGGGTCGCGTACGTCGCCACGTTGCTCGGACTCAGCAGCTGTGCACATGGCAGGCGCAGCGCGGGATATGTGTGTGTGTGTGTGCACGGTGAGCAGGTGGTGGGCATATGGGTGGCGATGTGAGGTAAGCCAAGGGCGCAGTAAACAAGACACACACACACAGACACCCGCACACACACACACACAATGGGCAAAGGTTTGGGAAGGTGCAGCGCACCATGACTTCCTCAAACTGGTCGTTGAGGGTGAGCTTCAAAAAGGCGTTTGCAGCGTCCCTGTACTGCTTCCTGTGCATGTACGCCAGCCCTAAAACGCACACACACACACCACACACACACACGCACGCACACACACATATATAACCACATATATATAAAACGACAAGGGGAAGGGGGTGAGGTGCTGATGGTGTGGAGCAGCATGTGAGCGGGGGGGGAACATCACGGCAGTGGCGCAGGAGGGAGGGTGTGTCGATGGTGCACGCGACGAAGACGCACCTGTACAGCACAGCATAGTGACATTCGCACTCTCCTGTCATGGTGGAGGTAGGGACACGTGCGCACGTTTGTGAGAGGACCAAAGGGGCAGAATGAACCCCAGAGCACATCTGCCCAGGCATGCACATGGACAGCTGACAGCAGACAAGCGCAGAGACAGAGAGCCACACGGAGACAGAGACGGAGACGGAGACAGACAGACAGACAGACAGACAGACAGACAGACAGACAGACAGACAGACAGACAGACAACACACACACACACAAGCAAACAAACAAACAAACAAACAAACAAACAAACAAACAAACAAACAAACAAACAAACAAACAAACAAACAAACAAACAAACAAACAAACAAACAAACAAACAAACAAACAAACACAAACAAACAAACACAAACAAACAAACACACACACGTTGAACTGTGTGCTGAGGAGCTCGCGGTGGCGCGGGGCGTATGCGAGGATGCCATCAAAATCGCCGTCAGCGAGAAGAACAAGCAGGAGGCGACTCAGCACAAACGACAGCGAGTCTGAGTGCGGCAAATAGTTGCGCGCATACAGCAGCGCCCGTCGCGCCTCCCTGTACACACACACACACACACACACACACACACACACACACACACACACACACACACACACACACACACACACACACACACATACACGCACACGCACATTTGGAAGGGGAGTGGGGATGTGAGGTGACGGGACTCACACATGCGGGCATGCATCTCAGCAGGGCGTACATGACTGGCATCGAATCACAACAAAAGCGGCAGCGGTCACGGTGGCAGAAGTAGTCACCGCACACACACACACACACACACACACACACACACACACACACACACACACACACACACGCGGCGTAGTCGATTTGGTGCAGTGCAAGGTTTTGATTGTGCGAAATTAGACCAGCGCAGGTAGTGCTAAACACAATCTTATGTCAATGACTTCATCAGGTGATCTCAATAAGCGCCTCGATGTTTAGATCTACGCGCTAATCATGTGGCTATGGAGAAAGACTGACCATGTTGCATCGCCACGTCTCCATTCACATCGATAGTGTCCTCTGATGCTTGGGGCACTCGCGGACGCAATCAATTGTTTCATAGAGGGCTTCATGCCGGTGCACTATGGTACGCTCAGGTGTGGCTGCTATACTGCCTCAAGCAAAGATGATCGTTTGGTGTCAGGTATGGTCACTATTTACTCGCCATGCCATACGCCTACCCTCTAGCTGGGAGCGGCCCCGAGAGATGGCTCGGCATGCGACACACACACACACACACACACACACACACACACACACACACACACACACACACACACACAAGCACATGCGTGCCTTTTCCTTGACGCGAAGGGACTTTGCGTCGATGAGCGCCTCGCTGGGCATGCCGCTGGGATATGGTTCGTTGTGGTCCACGCTGCAGCCGGGAGGTGGAGGATGAACGGGTGAGAAGGCGATTTCACGTGCAAAATGGTGCATGGGTGTGCGAGTGCTGCACTGGCTCGTCAACGGACAAAGAACGCACGCACACTTGTCGACAGACACACACACACACACACACATGTGCATGAACGCAAACACAGCACGCACCAAGCAGCACGAAGGAGTTTGACAATCTGTCGCTGCATGCCAACGTCCATGCATTGGCGCGAAACCTTCTCTGCCACTCTGTCGATGGGACATGACATAAGTCATGCGCGGTGCAACCATGAATTTGGCGTTGGAAGCAGCGCCACGAAGAGAGAGAGTGTGTGTGTGTGGGGGGGGAGGAGGGGGGAGAAGAGTGCGTGAGTGGGCAGAGTGTGTGAGCGAATGGGTGAGTGAGAGGTGTGAGCGTGTGAGATGGGGAGAGAGAGAGAGAGAAAGAAAGAAAGACATGTCCACACAGACACAAACACAAACACACAGCCGCACAGACACAGAGACACAGACACACAAGTGTCTCCGTTTTACTTGAGCGCCTTGAGTCTTGCTTGTGGGCAGTGTTCCGCAATGTGAAGTAGACGAGCCAAGCATTGTGACTCTATGTACTGTTCTGGGAACTCCTCAACAGCCTGCATACCAGTAGGGCATTTGGCGGTCGCTGTGAGGCACGCTCATTTCCATTCAAGCACACAAAGCACACAAGCACACACACACAAACGCGCAGACACAGAGAGAGACACGCACACACGCACGCATACAAAGTACGTACGCACATGCACACAGAGCACAGATGCACACACACACCCACACACCCACACGCACCAGTGTGCAGTTGGGGATGATCATGCGCTCCTCGGCCACGTCCATCGGGGCCGGCCCGCCTGTTGCGTTGTGCACGTCGTGCGTGCATGGATGCGTTTGTGAACAAGGGTCTCCGTGAGCTGGGTGTTGAGAAAAAGAGCGTGCTCTTCCCTCACTGCCCCTTCTCCTTCTCGCTTGTCTTTGTCCGCCCTTCCCATCATACCACCATCCCGCACCAACGCACCTTGGCTGTCTCGCTGCGCTTGGCTCATATCTGTTCGCTGCGTTGCTGAAAGTTTGAAAATAACAACATCAGCCAATTTTCCACGCAACTGGCTGCACAGTTATCCCAACGACGACGCTCACACTCCCCGTCTCTGCCTGTCTCTGTGTCTCTTCCACCCCCTCACTTCGTCTCTCTCTCTCATACGCACGCACTCACGCACACACTCCCCGTCTGTCTCTGCCTGTCTCTGTGTCTCTTCCACCCCCTCACTTCGTCACACACACACACACACACACACACACACACACACACACACACACCGGTGAGATGAGCGCCACGTATCTGACCCAGTACCTGGCCACCTTTGAGGTGATTCCTGGGGATGTGCAGCGGCATCTCTCGCTGATCCGTCAACAAGACATGGACATTCAAGGTGGATGGGGGTTGGCTGCGTTGTTGCAGTAGTGGTGGTGATGGTTCACCTTTGGCTCTTGCCTTGTGGAGCGGTGCGATGATGCACCTGCAACCTGGCCGTGCGCTCTCTCACCAACGCACCCCTTCTGTTTGTTTGATCGTTGCTGCGAAAGGTGTCTTGCGTGAGGTCGAATCCTTGAAGCAGAAGCTCAGTGAGCCAACCACCATCGCCAAATTCCAGGTGTGTATGTATGTGTGTCTGTGTGCGTGTGTGTGTGTGTGTGGCCTTTGCCAGTCTGTTGTGCTTGTGCCGTGCGAGGAGGGCACCTGGCGTCTACAAGCTGGCGAGTGCTTGATCCACAGGTGTTGTTGTTCATACTGTCGTTGTTCGTGTTGCTGTCCTGGCGCGTGTTTGTGTACGTGTGACATGTGTACACTTGAACACAACAACAGGGTTGCGTGCAACGGTTGAAGGAGCTCAACGCAAGCAAGCAAGTGATCATCGATGACATCCAGGAACTCCTTGACCAACACAACAAGCTGCTGCAACAAGAGAAACAAAAATATCTCTCAGGCAACTACGCAAAACGTTCGTTGAAGAAGGGGAGGGGAGCATGCGTGCATGGATGGTGTGGTTCTTGCTGCATGAATACAGGGGCACACGTTCTTGCACAATCACACTGTCGCATGACGTGCGTGCGTGTGTGTTGGTGTGTGTGTGTGTGTGTTGGTGTGTGTGTTTGCTTGTGTGTTTGCTTGTGCACGCGTTCACACACACACACACACACACACACACACACACACACACACACACACACACCACCCACCCCACACACACACGCACACTCTCTCACACACACGCGCGCGCGCAGCGCGGGAGGAGAACGGGCCTCGCGCGTCGACAACTCAGGGAAGCAGCAGTGGCGCCAGCGGAACATCAGCAAAGCGGCGGGCGCGGCAGGAATCGCGACGGTCAAAGCAGGGCAAGACCAAGGACACAGCAAGCAGCAGCACCGGCAACGCAGCACCGGCAACGGCAGCAGCAAGCAGCTCACGTGCGTCTGCGAGTGGCGGGGCGGCGTCATCGTCCGGTGGCGGCGCGAACAAGACGGCAGCCGTCCCGGCGCCAGCAGTGGAGACAAGCGCGCCCACGCCGGCAGCACAGGCAGAGGCAAAGAAACGCAGCAGCAAGAAGGCCTCCAGGAAATCGTACGTGCTGCGGTGTCCATGCGTGTGTGTGTCTGTGTGTGTGTGTCTGTGTGTCTGTGTGTCTATCTGTCTGTCTGTCTGTCTGTTTGTCTGCGCGTTCCTTCACCTTGCCTCGCATTCACCACCTCACATCTTGCTCAATCCATTCCATCCCCCCCCCCTCCCAAATCCGCTGCCGTGTGCCAGGCGGAAGAAAGAGAAGGAGCAGGAGCAGCACTACTGCGTGCCCAACTGCACGGAGACCACGGGCGATATGGTGGCCTGCGACAACGATGACTGCCCCGGGGAATGGTTCCACTACCAGTGCGTCGGCCTCACCGCGGCCCCAACGTCAAAGAAGTGGTGCGTGCGCGCCTTTGTGTCTGATGCACTTGTTTGTTGTTTGTGCCACGTTGCGTTCCACCCGAAACACTTCAGCCCTCGCCCCCATGCGCATCCCATTTGCTCCCTTCCTAACTTGCCGTGGATGTTCAGCGACGCATGCACACACACACACACACACACACACACACACACACACACACACACACACACACACACACACACACAATGACACACACACACATACACACACAATGACACACACACACATACACACACACTTGGTGCTTGTCTTGGGCTTGGGGGGTTTGGTTCCGTTTACTCACGATGGGTGAAACTTGTTCTGTGCGCGCGTGGTGCTGTCCCTCTCGTCTTCACGTCAACAACATGTGTACACCCCATACAACCAACCATCCACCAACCGCACCCCACATCACCAACTGCAGGTTCTGTCCCGAGTGCCGACCAAGCATGGAGCGGCGCAGATGAGTTGCTGTCGATCCATTGTACTCGACCCATTCCTCTTCCTCCTTCTCTCTCCCATCTTCCATCGCCTCTCGTCTCGTTGCCCTTCGTTTCTCTTTCTCTTGCTTGTCCTCGCTTCCTTGCGTGCTCCACGTCCTCC